GACAGAGGAAGTGTGGTAGCCCAGTCTGTCAGAAGTTAAGTTAAGCGTGTGATACTGTGCTGTGTGAGATATTATTAAGCTTCAGAAGCCACAGTTTGGTGCAACACCTGTATGTGAATAGTCTCTCTAAAAGAGAACACAAAAAGCAGCACTGAATGGACAGCTGGGAGTTCCTCCACAGGAAGTCATGTTTAGTGTTTGCTTTCATGATTTTTGGCACAGAAAGCAATGGTGTGCAAGTGGAATTTGTGACGAGACAAAACCAGGTGTGGTCAGTACAAGGGAGGATCAAAATACCATCCAGGAAGACCATGAGCACCTTGAGAACAGGGGTAAACTGGGTGGCATGAAACCTAAGAGTATGAATGGAAGGTCCTACTGTTTGGGGCAATAACAAACATTTTGACTCTAAGCTGGGATAACATCATTTGGCAGTGGCAGAGGAGGAAAGTGCTTAGGTAGGTACAAATAAATCACAGGATAATTCAGGCTGCCAGACTGTTACTGGGAAAAAAAGACAAATGCAGCTCTGGAAAGACTAGAGGAAAGAACTTCTTGTAGAGAGAGGGAATTGCCTCTGCATGAAGCAGAGGCCTTTTTTCTGGTTCACGAGAAGTAAATTTGGGGTAAATAGGGACAAGGGCAGCTATTGCACTTCTGGGAAATTTCCAGTTTTCGTAGGGTAAACGAACAGCCTGTTTTGTTAGGGGGAAGACATGGATTGTTTAACTTGGTAAAATGAAGACTGAGAAGAGATACAGTTTCTCTCTGTGTAGGTATCGAGAATAAGCATGAGCTAAAAGAGCTGTCTGAAACTTAAAAGTTGGTGTAAGAATGACTGGGCATAAAGGAGCTGTGAGTAAATCTCCTGAAGATGGGAAGGTAAGGGTGCCCAGCCATCCCTTTGGTTTCGGTGGATGTGACTCCCAAGGGGGTGCAGGCGGGACGGGGCAGTCTGTGGTTGCAGCCACGTCCAGGTGATGGACTGGGAGAGAAGGGGGAAACAGGAGCTGAACGAGGCAGGCACTGGTGTCACGGGAGGTGCACTGGGAGGTGAAACTGCAGCTCAGGGGTGGCCATAAAACACCTGGTGTGTGTGGTGACCATGTTGGGACCAGAGCAAGGGTGTGGGTGAGGAAGAATCGTGAAAATTAAGCAGCTCTAGAGACAAGGCAGTAAAGGTTAAAGACAAAGATAAGTTAGCACTGGTGGAGACTGGAAACCAACTGTTACCAGTGAAGTAGCAGTTCTTGCTGCTGCTTTGGTTTCTGTGCAGGTTTTCAGGGAGAAGTGCTGCTGACTTGCAGAAACACGGAGGATGTAACAGAACTGAGAAACCTCCTGCTTTACAACTTGCTATTTTTTGCTAATTCATTCCTCATTGACTTCACTCTCTCTAATTTAGCCTTCCTGTGTTTTAATTGCAGCACGCTTGATAAGACTAATGTGGTCTGAAGCTGAGGCATTCCCCGATTGTAATTGATTACAGACGGGGAGCTTACCTTCCTCCTGGGTTGGTCTCTGAAACGTTTTCTTAGTCTTAAAATATTCTATTTGGCTTCTCTTCAAGCAGCAGATGATGTTTCGTGCTTCCTTGTGGAATTGTAAAGATAAAAAGGACAGGTGGTTTGGGGCTGCTGCATTTGCATAATGCTGAAAGGTGGCTTTAACTGATGATAAATTTTCATCTAATAACTGTGACCAAGCACTCAGACCCACTGCCACCTCCCTGGGATGAACAGCCAGAACAGTGCATGTGCTTGCAGAGTAACTCTCCTCCTGCTGCTTCTCTCTCCACTGGAAAGAGCAAACATCCACTACTCAGAGAGAGACCCATAGCACAGGAAATCCTAGTGTGATCCCCAGAGAACAAGAAGGGTTCTGGAGCCTCCTGTGGTGTTCCTGCTGTGAGCTCAGGCAAGCAGCCTGTTTGTTTGCACAAGTGGAAGCTGCACCGGATGCGAGCAGCAGAGGAAGGAGAGGGCAGGGCCAGTCTGCCAGGTTGCAGGAGCAGCAGTAGTAGTGATGTGCAGGGACAAGAAGAAGGTGGCAGTGAAAGGCTGCTCCATCACTGTCTTGGAGGTTCAGATTGACAAGGGAAGAGCTGGAGTTTTCTGCTAGTGGTGTGTGCTACCCAGGGTAATATTTAGAGTGTATACACCCTGAAAACTGCTAGATTTTAGGGGGTATTTTGTTGCCTTTTCCTGCTGGGGCAATGGGACCAAGGTGCTTGTCTGTCTGCTGGTTTTGAGAAAACTGCTCTGGCTCTTCTCCCCACTGCCGCTGCTGGTGCTGGAATGCAGCTTCCTTTGCCTGATTAGCTCTGTCTGTCAGTGGGGTGAGCAACTCCCTCTCCTGTAATCAGTAACCGGAGCTGGTGTTGAAGACATGCCTCATCCCTCCTGCCTGCGTTGCTGTTGGACAAGGGGGGAGCAGCACTGCACTGAGTGCCCTGATACTGCTCTTCGGGAGGGATGAAAGCTTGTCCTCACCAGGGAACCTCTTTCTCTGTGGGCTTACGTGAACCACAGAACATTTGAGAGTACTGATGCAGACATCAGTAAGATCCATGGTTCAGGTGGGAGGCTGAATTCCCTTTCATGTGACTTCTTGGAACAAGGAGTTAGTGGCAGTGGCCAGGGTATAGAGCAGGCTGGATGCTGAACGACCAGAGGCCGGTAGGTCTTGCCAGCAGTTTTGCAGTCAGTGCTGGAGCCAGACCTAGCCGTAGAGAGACTGCAATTGTATCACCCAAAGTTTTATTATCCACCTCCTGTACTTAAATTCCTGCTCCACTTGTACTTTTCACAAAGCAGATTTCCTCTTGCCATCAGATAAGGCACTTGCACGTGGCTTGAGGTGACGTTTTAGGTGGTGGTTTGAGTTTGCCTAGAAGTGGCTGCTTCCCCAGTTCCCGTCTGCACAAGGAACACAAGCAGCTTGTCCTGGCCAAAACCAGGTGGCTTCTCATACTGTTTGATGAGGCTGAAAGGCGTGAAGGAGGGCTCAGATTGTGCTATGGCGTATCAGGCGCATCAGGCTCCTGGTGCTCCAGGCAGGTTTGAACGACAGGCCCAGCCAGATGTAAGTGAATGCATTGAGACCTGGTGTCCCAGCATGACAGCTGCTGGCTGCCTGTTGGCAGGAGCACACCCTCACCCTCGGCTGCCTCTGCTGGTGCTGAGCCTTCCTAGCAAGGGGCTGTGTTGGCAGAAGAGACACTGGTGCGTGGCAGGGGCCAAACCCTGAACCCCCAGCTGACATTCCACATATGGGACTGTTTCCAGCACACTGGAGGTTCCTGGCTCTCTGGCTCCAAGTGACAGCCACGCTCAGCCCTGCTCTCCCAGCTCTCTCTGCTCTGTACCACCATCATTCCCAGTGCTGCTTTCTGGAAATGATGCTTTTTTCCTTTCACAAGCCACTTTACTTCTCAGTGCCAGATTTCACTCTGCTTTTATGTTAGCAGAAGCGCTGAGTTGTTTCTGGGCAGCATCTTCTCAGTTTAGGGATGGGATCTTCCACATTTACAGAGTCCCAAAAAGCACCAACACAGTTTACCGGTGTGGTCCTGTACTACTGTACCCTTTGGAGGGTTCAGGTAACAGTGTCACTGGAAGCAGAGGAAGTCAAAGACTTCTTTTGAACACAGGTTACAAGGTAACACCTGCCTGAGCTTTCTTTAGCAGCTGTAACTGTCATCATTGCTGTGCACTGAGGGGATGGAAGTGGTTTTTAGACGCACAGTAGCAGCAAGAGAGGTATTTCCAAAATGTGCTGAAGATCTAGATAGGGACCTTCAGTCCCTTGGACCTCTTGGCAACCCCTGCATGCACACCATGACTGAGGCTGTCAGTGCCATGCAGGAACCATGGCTGAGATCTGCCTGTCCCAGACAGGACAGGGCAGGACAAGCAGCAGATGACAGGAGAGCCACATGCACGTTGTGCATGATGTGTACAACCAGTGCTTTGCAGGCAGGTGCCCACAATTCTGCAGTGGGTAAACTGGATTTCAATACCTGTGGCAGAGTGCCTTCAGTGGGCTCATGGGACTGGCGCTTTGTTGGTTTGAGGCCATTTCAGAGAGGCTCCTGTAGAGTGATTTTGTCACAGTCCAGATCGTATTTAGAGCTCAGGTTAGCTGCTGACCAGAGCACTGTGCTGGAGCCCCGGAATCATTTAGTGGGATTCTTGTCCTGTTGGGAGATTTAGGGGAAAGTTGCTTCTCCCTGTTCTGCCTTTGTCTCCACGAGGAGACGAACCACTTGCTGCTGTCATTAAGTGCTTCAATAGTACCAGTGCTGGGGAGTGATGGCAGATGCTGTGGTCCCTGCTAAAACCTGCTGCAGGGAACACATCTGGGTGGGCTGACACCACCCATAGCAGTCACTGCTTTGAAGTCCCTGCTGGTAGATGTGGCCATTTCACCCTTGGTATTGTATTAGTGTAACCTTTAGCATGTGATTTCTTCGTGACAGGGCCAGCAGAGGCAAAAGCCAGATTTAATGGGGCTGGTCCTAGGGCTTTTCAGCTGCATGCACCACCATGCATTCCTAGAGACCTCCCTTGGCAGGGAGCTGTGTGTGATGGGCACAACATGTCCTGCCACCATGTTCTCTGCCAGCTCTGTTGCCCAGCATACACCACCATCAGTACTGCACTATTGGACTCATGTGTAAGATAGCTTGGGAGGGCACTGTAACCAGCTACATCTCCCCAAGGGACCTGGATTGCCTAGATCTCACCATGCCAAAAAAAACTTCACCTAGCCCATGGGGAGACCTTCTACCTTAGCTACACAGGTCTGACCCTGCAAGTGTATCAGCTTTAGATAAGGGAAGTCCCTTGGTCTGCAGGGGCTCTTCTGGTCTGCAGCAGGGTCTTTTTCCTTGGCAGAAGCCACTGCCTTGGCCCAGATGGAGTCTCCCATAACCTGAGGGACAGGAGCATGTTGGCCAGGGTAGTTGCTGACCTTCTGTCTCTCCCATTTTCTTCCAGTCTTGGACGCACAACATCCAGCGGGAAAAGGAGTTTCTGAGGAAGCTGGTGAAAGCCCGAGTCATCACTGACCTAACCAGTGGGATTTGAGTGGCTGCAGCCACTGCCTCCAAGGGAGGAGATGAAGACACGCTGCAGCTCTGGGAGCAGGCACTGGCAGCCCCCTGCAAGAATCCCACCTCACTGAAGACACACAGAGATGCCCAGGTGCTCTGGGAAGACCCTCTTGCATTGCCAGTCTGCACGAGGGTTGCACCTGCCACCTCCAGGCCTAGAGCTGGCAGGAGGTGGGCAAGGGACTGAGTAGACAGTTCTTGAACTCTGCATTGGAGACAGATCTTCTGCATCCTGAATTAGACAGGAAAGACTCAGGAGAGAGAAGAAAGATTTGTGAATAAAATGATTTGTGCCAAATGGGAGGTGATGCTGCCCCAAGGCAGCAATGCCTGAATGTACAAAGTATTATTTTTTAAAAGACTGCTGGAAGCATACTAGAAATACCAAGGTACAAGGCAAAGCCTGCTTGTTCACAGCCCTGCAAAAGGCCTGGCCTCTTCATGCTCCATCTGCGTTGTCACCAGCCTCAGACCTTTCCCCAGGAAAACAAATCCATCCAAAACTTTGGTGTTGTTGGTGCTGCTATAATTCAAAGGGAGAATAATGGCTTCCTCTCATTCTCCACTTGGAGCTTCTGAATGGAGATGAGCATGGGTTTGTTTTTCTGTGTTTTTCCTTGCTTCCTCCACAGAGGCGGCAACAGCAGCAGCAGCCATCAACTTGGCTGTGTTTTTCATGGCCATTTGCTCTGCCTCTGCCCTGACCCCGAGGTGGAGGGGGGAGCTGATGGCTTTCTCCACCTCCCGCAGACCCTCCCCACCTTCCTGTCTGTCACGGTGTGGAGGAGCCTGCCTCGTTGTGCTCAAGGCTGTCAGGCCTCTTGGTTTGTGCCTGCTGTGCAGGGCCACCCTGGAGTCCGTGCACGTTGGTGTCACTGTTTCTGGACAGCATCTTGCTTTGGTTTTGTGTGGGAGGGGAGTAATTTGTTCTTTGGAAGGAGGTCATATCTTGAGCGGAGATCTCAAGCTTTACATTTTGAGAGCAGACCGCTGAAGATGTTTGCTTTATGTTCCAGACTCGATCACGTTCCCTGTTTAAGCAACATGTGACCTCAGTAATGATGGATCCTCATGGGAGCCCTCACCCTCCACTCGGCCCCTGCTCACGCCATTTCCAAACTCCTCCCGTGCTGCTCTAGCACTGCTGCTCCTCTTGCTCTCAGGAGCACATCCTTCCTTGGTCCCAAGATGCAGTATTTGCACATTTGATTTGTATAAGTATTTCAGAGGAGCTGGAATAAGCTGAGCAACGTGGCCAAGTCTGAGGACAGCAGGGTGGTCTCCTCCGCTGGGAGGGTGCGGGCGGAAGGGGGATCGCCAAGGGAATGGTGGAAATCGGCTCCCGTGCTCTCCTGGCCTGGAGCAGGCTGGGCTGCACCCACAGGGACTGTCCAAGTACCTGGGTGTCCAGGCACCAGCATGCAGCCAGCCAGTGCTGAGGTCAGTGGAGGGGGATCCCGAAGGGATGCAGGTTGGGCTCGTGGTCCTGGCACTGGGTCTGATGTAGCCCAAGGATTGCAGTCTGTCTTACTCTGAGCTGAAGGGAGAGCGTGGCCCCAGCGTGGACGAGGGATGCTGAGAGCAGGGCTTGCGTGGCTCCCCTGGGCTGCCTCTTCCCCCACTGACTTGTGGGGGGCTGTGACTTTGGAGCTGAGACCCTCGAGGGGGTGTGCAGGAAGGGCAGGCAGTGACACAGGTGTGGAGCAGAGGAGCAAACTGTACAGAATGGTTTGAGACCAGGCTGCAGGCAGAGGCAGCTCTCAGGACATGGGGCTGAGTGCTGCTTATAGACCAGTGTGGGATGCATCCCTCAGGAACCTCTCCTGCATGGTGTGCCTGTAGCAAAGGAGTTTACTCAGGGGCAAGTCCTGTCCAGCTTCTGGTTGTGGCTGCTGCTTGCCTTATCATCTGGGAGCACGTCAAGGATTGTGTCTCTTCTGGCATTCTCCTGTTCCCATATCCCTTTCCATCCCTCTGGCCTCCCAAACAGGCAGTCCCTGCTCCCCCAGGGACATTCCTCCCACCGGGATATTCTGTGAGGTTTCCAACAGGTTTTTGAGCATATGCTGTGGCAGATACTCCTTTGAAGTCTCCCCCAATTTCTTTTTCCTTCTCAAGGAGCCCAGGGGACGGGATTTCCCTGGCTCTCACCTGGCGACACTCCCTTTGCAGTTTCTGTGTGTCATCCTAGACCCAGGACTGTCATCTGTAGAGTCCCAGTCATGCTGGCAGTGGGGATGCTTGGGCTGGACCTGGCTGAGGTTGTGGTTTGGGAAGCGCTGACACCTACTGCTCAGCCTTCCTGTCATCCCAGCTTTCCACCACAGGGACAGGTCCTGATGGGAATTTGACCCTACAGACCAGGGAGATGACTCCAAGCCCTTCCTTCCACCTTGGTGGGAGTCTCCCGGCAGAAATGCCTAGGCTGACTAGATGAATGCATGGCCCAGGGTGACTGTGGTGGCTCAGGACCACCTGCAAGTAGAAGGAAAGAGTGTTTGGGGGCCAAGGCTCCCCTCTAGCTCGCTGACAGCACGGAGCAGCCCCCCGGCTGGGTGACGGAGCAGTGTGCAGCACTGGGTTTCACTGCTGGATGCTGTTCCTTTGGCTGCCTCCCTGTGTGCACCTGCAGCCACCTCCCGTTCCCTGAGACGCTGCAGTCCTGCCAGCTCGGAGCGGTGCACGCGGGTCAGAGCACGGTCAGTGGGACGGATGTGAGTCTTGGCCTCTCCCTTGCAGTGACTCACCTTGTCAGATCGGAAGGGAGAGCCCAGGGGAATTCTCCACAGCCTAAATATAGAGCGGGGTTGCCTGGTGCCTCCGATGCGCTGCAGTGCAGAAAGGCCGCTCGGGTGGCGGGGAACCTGCCCAGGGACACGCAGGAGGTCGGGAGCCAGCGCCCACAGCGGGTTTCACTCTGACCAGTGTGGAGGGCAGATCTGGGGAGCTGCAGGGCAGCCAGCACATGCTGCTCCAGGGGAGGGGGCTGCCAGAGAGCTGCTAGTGCTGCACTGATGACACCCTGAGCACAGGCTGCTGGTGCATTTGTGGTGTACAGCCCTACGCAGTGCCCACCACCCTGGCGTCAGGCTCCTGCCACCAGTTCGCCCCGTTAGGGCTGGCTGTGCCATGTCCTCAAGCTCACACGTGCCAAAGGGAAGCACCGTGGCCAGGGAGCACAAGGCAACAGTGGGATCCAATCCAACATTTCTCAGCCCAGTGTCTCTGGGCTTCCAGGATCTCCTTTCCTCGGAGGGAGCAGTGGGGAGGCCCTGCCTGGCCATGCTGTGCTACCCCTCATTATGGGCACTGCTGGGAGTGGGGGAGAGTGTCAGGACAGGGCCATCTGTGTCAAACGGGGGCAGTCAGGCTGGGTATGGGCAGCACTGGACATGGGCAAGGGCTTCCAGAGTGCCTGGCAGGGAGGTGGCCACCACGCCGAGCTCCACCGGTACCACCAGTGCCGTCGGTCCGAGCATGTGTCACTCGCAGTATTAGAGACGTGTCCTTCAGTGCAGGACACCCTTTTGGGGCCACTACCCAGCTCCTCTGGGCTCTGGCTCTTCTCACAGCCTGCACGGGGACTCGCAAAGGCCAGTGCGTTTGCCGGTACTGTACCAAGCTGAGATGCAAGAACTCAATGAGTTTTTAAAATTAGTTTTAGTTTCTGCATTTTTTTTTAATTTCCCCTCTAGGCAGGGAGGGCAAGAGTCTTGCAGGCTCCTCCAAGCCGGCTTATGTCACGTCAATTCAGTCATATCACAGAAGCAATAAAGCTATCAAACAAGCTTGGCTGGCCTCTTTCTTCTGCTGCCCTGGGCCTTTTTTATGGGAGGCAGAGGGATTCCCCTGCTCGGCCTGTCCCCAACCTGGTTCCACTGCTGTCTCCTCCAGCACAGGAATCCAGCTGCTGGGAGCTGCAGCTGGTCAATGCCACTGGCCTGGTGCTGGGGACAGGAGAGGGCTGTGCTCCTCCTTGCAGGTGACCTGAGGGGTGGGAGAGGGCCTCGCTGTTTGGGTTCATTTCATGTTGGAAGGCACAGGCGTCGGAGCTTGTCCTGCCTGGGACAGGCTGTCTGGGACTCTGCCTGCTCTCTTGGGGACTCCCTGCCAGCAGGGTGACTTCCCGCCAAGGGTCACAGCAGCAGTTGGGCTGGGTGCGGCCCTGACAAAGGCAGGTGTCCAGCCAAGTGACCTTCTCACCGCAGTGTCCAGGAAGGAAGCAGTTTAGGAAGCCAGGGGCCAAGGTTGTGACCAGCTCTGACACCTGCCAAGTCCCAGCAGGAGGAGCACAACCCCTGCAGCAAACCCTGGTGATGCCGCCGGGCTCCCAGAGCCGTAGGACGTGTTGGGGACAGTCCCATCGCCTGGAGGAACAGGAAGGCTACTTCCAGGTGGGTGACTGGTCTGCCAGGCCTCCCAGCTCCTAAACAACAAGGGTGGGTTCCTGCCAGCACCCTATGGGACACCACAGGGGCAACTGCCCAGCCCTCCCTGTGTGTGGTCTCAAATTCCAGAAGGGAGATGCTGGGGCTGCTCAAACCCTCCTTTCTTCCCTGTCCTCACCTTGGGAGGGCTGAGGAAGGGGAAAGCACAGAGCCTGGAACCAGGGCACACAGGGCCGTTGAGGTCACCTGAGACAAGGAGACTCTGAAAGAGCCACATCACCGCTGAGATGGGGACACCCGCATCACAGCTCTCTCCCACGTGTATTTTGTCACACCCAGCCATGGCCTCGCACAGGCATGGCAGCAGCCCTGGTGTGCTCAGTCCTGCCACTTGACTGGACTGTGTCACCCCCATCCTGCCGCACACAAGGGTGGCACCTTCAGGGACAAATGCCACAGCAGGCCCCAGCCCCACAGGGCTCATTCCAGACCAGGCAAGGCACTCAGACACCCCAGCACTGGGGGTGCAAGGAGCATGGGCTGACACAGGCAGTGCCAGCAGCAGCCACGGAGCAGGTCACCCATCTGTCTGGAGACCTGTGGGGCTGCACCCCAGCACCCTGTGGAGCCTGGATCATGCTCAGCACTCTCCATGGCAGAGCCAATACTTGTGGGAGCCCAAAGGGAGATAGCAGTACCTGGATTGAAGCACAGAGCTGGGACATGCCGTCTGCTCCTACCACAATCTTGGAGGGACAGGGAAGAGGTGCCGATGGTAGGACATTAGTGGGGCTGACAGCAGCAGCAGGTTCATGTCTCCCAGGACAAGGGCCAAGGGCAGAGAAGGGAGCCAGTGTCCCCAGCTGGCTGCGGTAGCAGCCTCAAAGGGTCACACCTGTAAGAGGACAGAAGCCAGGCATTGCACAGCTTTGCACAACCTCTCATTTCACTGGACTGGGGAGGACACCATGGGCTTACCTGTGTGGGGTCCTTTGGACACCCTGTGCCATGCCCCACAAAGCCTCCTGCCCACCACCAGCGCCACACTCTCAGTAGCTTCTAGCTATGTCCTGGGAACATCAGGACCTGCCCAATCTGCAAGGAAAGGTGGGAGGGGTTGAGGGTAACCCCTGTGGTGAGCCAGCACCTGGAGCTGTCTCCAAGCCCTGAGGGCTGTTGGTGTGGGAGGCAGCCCTCCCCTCCAGTGTAGGTCCCCTGGCATGGACAGGGCTGTGGCCAATCCCAGCCTCGTGGGGACAGCCAGTCAACCTGGAACAGGACATACCGCTCACATTGAAATTTTCCAAGCAGGCAGCTGTGTTAGTCTGCAGCCCTGCAAAGCAGAGAGGATCCTGTTCCCTGCCTTTGGCTGGTTCTCTACGCCAGGGATGCTCCCCAGCCTCCAAAGCTCTGCTGAGCCAAGTCATCCAAGGGCATCACCCCTGACAGCTCCCGTGAGGATGTGTCAGATGGGAGCAGCCTCGAGCCACGGCCGTGGGGCAGCACAGCCCCATGGCAGAGCCCATGCTCCCACGCAGTCCCACTAGCAGGTATGGAGCCACTTATGGCCACAGATTTGGCGAAGGTGCTTGTGCCAGGACCGGGAGGGATAAGGTGCCACTCCAGGGCAGGGGCAGCAGCTCCGGGCCGCGTGCCACCTCCGCCGTCCCTGCTCGCGGTGGCGGGGACGGCTTAGTGGGCGCCCGCACACTCCCTAGCAGGTGATGCTGCAGGAGCCGCGGGAGTTGTCACCCCCGCGCTGGATAATCCGAGGAGATGAGCGCAGGCGAGGCGGCGGCTCCGCAGGTGTCTGCAGGCGCGGCCGGCCGTCCCCGCCGCGGGGCCCGGGCTGCCGGGCGGCGGGGAGGAGGTTAAAGCCACGCTGGGTGCCCGGGGTCGGGGCAGACCCCACGGGCCACCTGGGGCCCGGCGTGCAGCCGCGGCACAGCCGGCGACCGAGCCGCTGGCCCCGCTCCAGCCGGGGAGTTGCATAAGCCGGGGGAGCTGCGCCGAGGCGGCGGAGCGCCGCCGGGGCAGGTGACACGGCCCGCGGCACCCCGGGGCGCGCAGCCCGCCCGGGCGCCCTCGGACCCCGCGGCCATGAGGGCCGGCCCCGGGGGTCTCGCCTGGCCCGGGACGCGTCCCGGCGACCGGCTCCGGCCAGGGGAGCACGTGTGAAGCGGAGCCGAGCGGAGGCGGCCCCGGGATTTGGCACGTTCACAAGGAGCACTCGAGAGCCCCGGGATGGACGCGGAGGGCCCCGGGCGGTGACGTAAGGACTTGCACGGGCTCGGCTCGACTCGCCAGCCGGCCCCCATGTCCCCGGGGCCAGCGGCGGCCCCGGCGGAGGGAGGCAGGGCGACGGCAGAGGTAAGGAGCCCGGCGGCGGGCGGCCCCGCCGGGGAGGACCGGGGCGCAGGGCGCGGGCGGGCAGGAGGCCGGACTCCTCCTCCGGCGCGGCCGGACGCGAGCGCCAGGCACACGGGTGGCCCGCGGCGGCTCGGGGTGCGTGGGACGCCGGCCGGTCCCGCCGCGGCCGGAATGGCCCCGACCCTGCCCGCCAACCCATCCCCGCCGGGTCCCCACGTGTGCGGCCCTGCCCTCCGACGGCGGGCGTGGGGCCCCGTGGGGCTCTGACTCCGGAGCGCTCCGAGAAGGGTTGAACGCTTCCCCGGGGGTGTTCGTGTGTCCGTCCTGCCCGCGCTGGACGGGGCTGTCGGGGCAGGGAGCCCCGCTCACGGGGCGGTCGGCCGGCCGGTCTGCGGGTCCACCTGCCCGTCCGCCTGCCCGGGGGTCGGCCGGCGTGCAGGTGGCGGTAGCGGGGGTCAGGTGCCGCCGGGGGTCCCGGTGACGTTCCCGGCGGGGTGTGAGTTTCCGCGGGAGGTCGGCGGCGGTGCGGGTCCCAGCGGGAGCCGGTGCTGAAGCGGGTCGGGCTGCGGCTCCTGCTGTTGGCGGGATCCCGGTGCCGTCCTGCTCCCGGGGCGGTCCCGGCGCCTGTGCGGGTCGGAGTCCCGGTGCCGCTGCGGTGCGGGTCGGGATGGCGGCTGGTATTCTGGTGCCAGTGCTAATCGGGGTCCCGGTATCGGTGCCGGTGCCCGCCCCGCCGGTCAGGTGACGGCGGCTGGAATTTGACACCGGTAGCGGCGACGGCAGCAGGATGGAGCCGTCGCTGCCCCGCACTGTGCGTCCGCCCGCCGCCGGCGGCACCGCACCGCGACGCGCAGCGGGACCGGGACCTGTATCCCAAGGCACAGCGGGAGCGGCACCGGGAGCAGCGGCGGGAATCGGTGCCGGCGGGGCAGCGCCGGCCCCCGCCAGCGCCCCGCCCCGGCGCGGCGGCGGCGGGCGGCGGGGGGCGGCGGGGAGCGGAGGCGATGCGGGGCAGCGGCGGCCCGGGGGTTGGTCCCCGCCGCGGGCACGGTGAGTGCGGGCCGGGCCGGCGGGCGACAGCGCCCGCCCCAGCCTGCCGGCGGCCCCGGACCTCGGTGGTGGCTCGTACCGGGACTGCGGGGGGGACGGGGGGAACCCGCTTCGCCGCCCACCCTTCGGCAATAGCCGGGGTGCCGAGCCCGGCCCGGCGGCGGGAAGCGCTGAGGGCCGCGGCGGGGATGGGGTTCCCTGCCTGGGCAGGGAGAGGCGGGACCCCGCTGCGGGCGCCCGAGGGACACGGGGGCGGACTCCTTCGCCTCTTTCCTGGGCTCCTGCCCGGCCCGTTGGGCACGTCGGACAGGTCCGCGCCCCGGCTGCCCGGGCGGTGGCCCGGCGAGAGCCACGGGGAGGGGCTGCCCAGCGCCCCCCGCCTGTGCTGCCTCCGGCAGGGGCCGAGTTTGGTCTCAGCCGTGTACCCCACGTGTTCGTCCCCGGGCCTCCCAAGGCTTTGCGGGGCGGGTGCCCGCTCCGCATCACATGTGGGGTTGATTTCTGACCCCCCGTCACTTCTGCCAGGGACAGCGCGGAGGGATGATGGGCCTCCGCCGGTTCCCGCAGGTGCCCGCGGGGGTCTCCGGCCACCCGCCCCGCACTTCTCGGCGGGACCCGGGGCTGCAGGACAGGCATGGCCACTTCGTGAGCTAAGACCCTCACTCTGGGGCTGGGGCACACGCTGGCTCCGCGTGAATGCACTTCGCGAGTGTCTGCTGCTTTCCCCGGGGTCCTGGTCCAACCTCGGGGCAGCCGCTCCCAGCCCCCGTGCACGGCGCGGTCAGCGCGGCTCTCGCCGGGCTCTGCGTGGGTGGGTGTGCGGTGGCCCACGCAGGGATTGCCCCAGCACGCTGCTGCTTAGCCCCGGACGGGGGACACGGATGTGGGGGGCCAAGCAGGTCCTTCCTCACTTGGATGGGCCCGGTTCCGACCCTGGAAGAAAAGCTTCCTGTGCCCGTGAATAGCCCGGCTGGACTCTGGCAGCCGTGGCAGGGGCAGACCCCAACCTGGTTCCCCCCATACGGGACGTGGGGGTCTGACGCGGGGTGTGCAGGTCTCGCACTACCGTGGGGTGCCCAGGAGCTTGTCTCAGCCCCGCCCGCGCTGGGGGAAAAGCAGGTGCCGAGTGGGGCTGCGGGGCCAGCGTGGGCTTCGGTCCTGCGCGTTCAGGGATCTGCCCCCGGGGACGGGGCCCCGTGTCTGCGGAGGCACTGGTGGAGCACGGCCGTCGCTCCGGCCCCGAGGCTCCCGGTGGCGAAGGGAGGCTGCCCTCGTCTGGCGCCCCGCCGGCAGCGCTCCCGCCGCAGAGCCCGTGACTGTGCTGCCTCCGGACGGGAGAAGCCTGAACTGCACCGGCTGCTCCGTCCCTTTCCGTTCCGTCCCGTCCCGTCCCGCCGGGATGCTTAAGCCGAGGGGCCGCGGCGGGGCTCCCGGGAGCGGGGACCGGGAGGAGTCCGTCCCCTCCTAGCAGGGCGCGGGGACCCTCGCCTGGCCCCTTCAGGGGTGCCAACCTGGGAAAACCATGACCTGGCAGCAGCGGCTGGCGTGGGGCCACGGGCCGCCACGGGAGCGACGTGCAGCGTGGGCTGTGCTTGGCCAGGCTGTGGCGGCTGGCGCGGCCGGGGGGGCCGGTGCGAGCCCTGCCGGCACGGGGGGAGCATCTCGCCTGGTGCAGGGGCCCCGGAGGAGGCGCGTGAGTCTGTCAGCGCCCACCACAGCCCCTTACCACAGTGTGGCCAGTGCAGGGTGGCATCAGATGCAACAATCGGGACTTGGGCACTATCCCCTGAGATGCTGAAGGGACTGGAGGAAATTGTTTTTTCTTCTTGTCCCAGCGGTGCCCAGCCACGTCCTTTTATTTTTTTTTGTCAGGAGTGCTCTCCTAGGCATGTCCCATCCCAGCTTTGCTATGGCAGCAACTGGGACATGCTGGGACAAAGTCACAGAGTGGATGGGGGAACTCCCTAGTGCAGAATGTCACTAGTCTCCAGGAGGACAGTCCCATCCCAAGAGACAGGGAATGCAGCAGATGGGCCAAGAAGGGTACAAGCCCCTTTAGGATCCACATCTAGGGTATCCTGGCTTTGGACACTGGGGCACAGGAGCCTCCCGCACCGCAGGAGGGCGCTGGGAAAGGAGGCGAACATGTGGCTGCAGACAGGGCCTTGCCCCAGCACCTCCTGGGGGACATCACTCCCCTGAGACTGTGCTTGCTGCTTTGTTGGGATGATGCACGGCAGGGATCCAGTTCCCCTCTGTGTGTCAGAGCAGTGGACGCCGAGCAGTGGTGTTGGGGAGAATGACTGCAGTGAGCCCGACATGGTGATCCACACCCCGCCATGTACCCATGGGACCTGCCCGCCTGTCCTGCCCCTCGAGACCCCACTCACCCAGGCTGCTCTGGGCTTGTATGTCCCAGTTTGGTGCAGGCAACAGGCTGGGGAGCCAGCGCAGGGCCGAGGGGTGGCTGCACCCGAGGACCCTGTGCTAATGGATTTGGAGTTTCTAAGGTCAGGCTCCCACTGCAAGCAAGAAAAACATTCCCAGGGAAGGGCCATGGGAAAGGGCCCCCCCCGGCAGCACTCCCAGCCCCAGCCACTGCCTCACAGCCCAGCCTGGCATCCCAGGCCGCTTGCACAGGGAGGTGGCTGCATTCCCCCTGAGGAGAGGTGCTGGACAAAGGCTGGGGCGCCCCAGCTGCCCAATCTCTTGGAAGGGGTATGCAGTGTGGTGAGGGTGCCTGGCTGTGCCAGGAGAGGAGAGGGGTGAGGGTGCATCATGCAGGAGGTTTTTTGGGGTTCTGGGGGGTGATGGAGGGGATTGCATGGTTGAAGAAGGCAGGAGAAGCATGTGCCAACTCCCAGCCAGCCAGGTCGATACCCACCCTATCCCTGCTGCTTGGGCACTGACTCCAACCTCTGCACTTGCAGCGAGCATGGACCAGCGACAGGGGCCACCAGAGTCGAGACCTGCAGGACCTGCCACGCATCCGCAGCCCAAGGTGAGTCCAAGTCTGTCTGGCTGTGATGGCCAGGACCACACTTCCTCATCCCACCCATCGCCAGCTCATGGAGCCTCGTCCCTGGGACTGTGGTTGAGGTTCACCCAGCTGTGCTGTGCTTTGTTGCAGGAGGGGACACTGTGGGGGCTCCTCGCCATCCTATCGCTGCTGGCTGGGCTGGCCACGGGCACCCTGCGAACACCACACTGCAACGAGACGCTGGACGCAGCCCCTACACCACAGGGCATGGCCACTGCCAGCCCATCTGTGGAGGATGGTGTGGAGGTGCCACTCGCCGCTGCCTGGAGCCAGCTGTATGGTGCGTGTTGGGACAGGACCCACAGCCTGGGCACGGTAGCCCTGCACATGGGGCATGTCCAGGTTGGGAGCTGCTGTGGGGATCTCCAGCCTGTGTGGGGCTGGGGCTGCACTTCGGGGTGGGCTGAAGGGGGCTCTGTGCTGTGTGCTGGGGGTGGCGGCAGAGCCCTAGAGATGAGAAAATCCTTGGCTGGGCACCCACTCACCCCATTGCCTCTTGGGCACCCAGCCAGTGTCATGGTGGGTGGTCAGGAGGGGTTCGTAGGTCACAGTGGGGGCAGGCAAGCTCAGCAGGCCCAGGAGGGCGATGGGTGCGGGATGGGTACTGATGGTGCTGTCTCCTCCGTGTACAGGGGAAAATGCGACGACGGGTGGTCCAGGCGCCGCAGAGTTGGCGGAGGACCTGCTGCTGCGCGCTGAGCGTTCACCGCCGGGCGCTGGCAAAGCCAAGAAGAGGGCGCGGACACCCTCACGGGGCACCCGCGGGCGCAACTGCCACATCCGCAACCTGATGGTGAAGGTGCGGGACCTGGGCCTGGGCTTCAACTCGGACGAGATCGTGCTCTTCAAGTACTGCAGTGGGTCCTGCCACCGGGCACGCAGCAACTATGACCTGACACTGGGCAGCCTGCTGCGGCAGCAGCTCATCGCCCCGGGGCCACAGGAGCGGATCCTCAGCCACCCCTGCTGCCGACCCACCCGCTATGAGGCTGTCTCCTTCATGGATGTGGAGAACACATGGCAGACAGTGGAGAAGCTCTCAGCAGCCGAGTGCAGCTGTATTGGCTGAGGAGGGGGCCACTGGCTTGGCCTCAGCTCGACACATGCTGGCAGACTCCGGCTTGCCACATGCAGTGGCACCGGTGCTCAGAGGAAGGGTCTGGCAGAGGCTGGTGCCTCCGTTTTTATGTGGCCACAAAGAACGGAGGTGAGATGGAGCCATGACTGGGGTGTGGGCGGCCAAGCCCCCTCCTGCTCAGTGCCAAGCAGCTGGTGCCGACGGCTACATGGGGTCCTGCCTGGATGCACTGTGGCTCAGCCCTGAGAGAGGGGCTGAGGGGAGTATGGACCATCCCCACCACTCACTGGCTGGTCTGTCAGCCCAGTGTCCACCAGCAGCACTCCTCCGCCCCTGCTTTAGGGGAGCTGGGGTCAAGTGTCACCCCAAGTTTCAGAGTGGGCAAAACCTCCCTGTCCCCTCAGACACCCTGGGGTCAGTGGTGGCCAGAGCTGCCCTGCAGGGAAGGGGTGTGCCTGAGGACGGACGGGGGTGCAGCCAGGCCAACTTGCGCCATTGCAGGGTGGGGGACCTGCACCCAGACCAGCAGCAGCCCCTGGTGTTCTGCAGGGTGGTGGGTCACGGGCACCCACTGGGACCCCCATCCCTGCCTGGCTCCCAGGGGGGTGGCAGGGTCCGCCCCGCTGCCCCGTGGTGCTGCGGCACTAAACTATTTATTACTCTAAATTATTTATTTATTGTTCTCGAGCGGCAGCTCCTATTTATGACTTTGGGCCCCCGGGGGCCGGGTGTAAATTAACCCCAGCGCTGCAGTGAAGCCCTGGGCAGTGCCCCGTGCCCCCCCCTTTTCTATTATTTGTAAAATTTGAGGGATAAACTCTATTTTTGTACAGTCGCCTTTTCCTGTAGCAATAAAGCGATGGGCTGCGCGTCCAACCCCTGCGTGTGCTCGTGGTGGGGACGGGGACGGGGGGTGCCCCAGAGCCGGCAGCGGGAGGGTGGGGATCGGGGCTCCCGCCGGCCCCGCCCGCCCCGCGCGTGGGAGCGGCCCCGGCGCCCGCCCAGCCGCGGTGCCCGGCAGGGGACGCGCGTGGGCCGGGACTGCCGGGACCGCCGGGACCGCCGGGACTACCGCTCCCGGCGTGCGGCGCGGCGCTGCGGCAGGTCCTGGGCTGCCCGGCCGCGCCTGCGGGGCCGCGGGGAGAGGCGAGGCGGGGGCGGAGAGGAGCGGAGCGGGGCGGCGGGGCCGCTCGGGGAGTCCCGCGGGCGCCTGCCGGCCCGACCGAGCCGCCCCGCGCCGCCCCGGTGCCACCGCCCCCGGCGGGGCGGGGAGGCGGGTCCCGCCGCGATGCGGCTGCCCGTGCGCCGCCGCTGTCGCCCGCCCGCCGCCGCCTCCTGAGCGCCGCCGCAGCCATGGAGCGGAGGGCGGAGGCGCCGCCGCCGCCGCCGCAGGGCCTCGACTTCACCGTGGAGAACGTGGAGAAGGTGAGCGAACCCCGCCGGCCCGGCCGTGGCGGGGCGGGGGGCGCGGCGGCGGGGAGATGATGCTGCCGCGGTGGTGCGGGGGATGCGGCTCGGGGAGCGGGGGGGGCACCTGCTCGGCTGCGCCGGGCCCGGGGAGGGCGGCGGGCGGCAGCCCCTGTTCCTGTCCCTGCCTGCAGCCCCCGGGGCGTGGGGCGGGAGAGCCGCCGGGGCAGCCCGGGGAGGGAAAACGATGTGGCAGGAATGAGAGCAGAAAGGAGGGGTTGTGTGCGTCTCCGACCGGCGTCCTCTAGGTCGCCAGCTGCAGCGCCGGGCAGGGAGAGCCCACGGGTCTGGTCGTGGCTACTGAGCCAGCCGCATCGATGTGAAGCCCGTTATCACTGTCTCCATCAGGCAGGGAAGGGACTATTGCCATGTGCTGGGAATTGTTGAGTATTACGGTTGGGAAGAGCCTTCAGGGGGGCGGATGGCCCCGTGATGTCTTTCTAACCCTGCAATCCAGCCCCTGATGCTCAGGGTCCTCCAAAGCAGTTGCAGGGCAACAGGAGTGAGGCTGCGATTGCTGAAATCTGGGATCCAGGGAATAGCCACGGCAAACCAAGGCCTGCTGGCATCACACTGCTGTTGGGGTAAGCCCTGAGCAGCTGCCCTGTGACCTGGAGTTCATCACAGAGACCAAGCAGGGCACCCCAGTGAGCACCCGGGAAGGCAGCTGAGCAAAAACATTCCCTTGACCACCTTGGAGGTGATGGGGGCAGGGCAGCAGAGGATGCATCCCTGAAGGGCAAACAACAAGAGAGTACATCACCCTTCCACTTACCCTGTAGCCAGACATCTGACAGACATCCATAGCTCTGTCCTCAGACAGCTGGTGGGAATCCCAGTGTCCTCGTTTTTCCTCTATAAGAATAGACTTGAGATCCTTGCCAAAGCAATGCTTGCAGGCGAGCTGGTGGGCACATAGAATCACGGAATCATTTAGGTTGGAAAGGACCTTTCAGATCATCATGTCCAACCATTAATGCAGCCCTGCCAAGCCCACCACTATACCACATCCCCATGCACATTTCACACGCATCCCTCCCCAGTAGGTTGCCTGGCCTGGCTGGACGTGTTGGGTCAGGGATGTCAGGTTTGTAACTGGGCACTGGTTGCCTTTGTGGCTTCAGGTGAGACACAGCTCACCTCTTCCAGGGAGATGGAGACAGAGCATGTCCAGGGGGATTAACTGATGTCTGGAAAATGGTACATTCATGCAACCTTCTGCAGCTTATTCTGCATATATCCAGGGCTGCTGGATGATTTTGCCTCTGACTTCCTTTCTCCTCGTGAGACACAAACCGCTCCTTTGTTTGCACCAACAATGAAGTGCACACTTGCCCGGGAAGGGTGGGCAGTGCCAGGGTGGGGGGCACCCGGTGCTGGCTGGGCGAGGTGGGGCTGTGCCGAGACGCAGCTTGTCCTTGCCAAGCTGCTCAGGATTTAGTCTCCTACGGCCTGGGAGGAGGCAGAGATGCCCTCTAGGATGCTTCATCTCCCCTCCCCCCCAGCCTGCTTGGCCTCTCTGGGTATCCGCAGGCTTTGCCATCTCAATGGTGTCCTCTGAAGGTGCAGCTGTGGACCTCCGTGGGGCTCTGAGCTGCTGGCAGGGGGCAGCAGGGGAAGAAATGGGGGATGGGATCAGAAAAAACTCAGAGGTTCAGAGCTCAGAGCCCTCCTGTGTCAGTCTTTTCCAGGAAGGGCTGTGGGATGTTTCTGGTACAAAGCAAAGGAAAGATGGGCTTTGCTGGGGGCAGGGTTGGTGGGAGGCAGGTGGGTAGAGCTGCTTTGTCAGAGGTGATGCTGGCAGATGAATGACGCTTCTACTGGCCTGGGCTCTTCCACCTGCCAGGTTTTGTGCATAGTGCTATTAATAATACTGAATAGTGATTAAAGTCAGGGTTTGACTCCACTCTGAGTCAGTTAGTGCTAAGTGCTGGTGTTAGGAACAGCATGAGGAGCTCGTTATCCCTTAAATCAGAGGGTCAAAGCCTTTTCCAGGACACCTGCAGTGGAAGTCATCATGTGTAGCAGTTGTAGCCAGGGCAGCCTCTGGTGAGACTGTGCCTGTCACACTCTTCTGATGGTTTTTGTGGAGAGGATTCATGTCCCTGGAAGACCCTTTTGTACCCCTGCTGTTGTTTATTATGCCGTGGGCTGGGCAAATCCCCCACAGTTTTGCAGAGCTCTCGTGCCTGCGTAGCTGAAGAGCATCATTGCTGTGTTTATCCAGCATAACCTGTGCCAGAGAGAGACAGTTAGATCCCTCCAGCTGTGACCAGTGGTTTCAGGGAGGCAGGAGGGTGCAGGTGCTGGAGGCAGGGCCAGCTGACAGGTCTGAAAGTCTGCAGGCAGCAAGCAGGCAGCTGCCTTTGTTCCTGAGGTACCAGGTTCAGGTGCTGCACTTCAGGAGCCATCTGAAAGTTGCTCCCTGTATGTTTTTGCTCCTTTTTTCCATGAGGAGCTCTCCCATGACAGAGGGAAGGAGCAGGGTTGTGCTGAGGCTGAGCCATTGTGGTACAGTTACTGTGTCAGTGTCCCTCAGTCCCAGCCGAGGGCTGCTCATCTGCTTTTTGTTTTCTCCTGAGCCTGACCTAGATGCTGCTCTGGCTTCAGCACAGCCAGAGCAAACTGGTGTGGCCATGCTGCCTGGATCTGCTGGGAGTCAGCAGCTCTGGGCTGCTGCCCCTGCACCTGCTGCTGAGTGGGGCTCTGCTGCTGCATTTGGAGGGATAGGAGAAAAGAGAAGGCTGGGAAAGCCGAGGGCTTCAGGCTGTGAGGATGCTCAGCCTCCCATTGCCTAAACGGTGCAATCTGGTCTGTGACCTCCCTGTGCCTTTGTGTGCCCAGGAGCTGTCCCCAGTGTGACTGACAGCCTGGTGCTGGGCTGATGAATGCTGCTCTGGTGAAGATGGATTGCAGATGTTCGGTCCCTGCTGGCTGTGTCCATCTCAGAGAAGTAGTGCACAAGCAAGGCTTGTGCCCTGCAATTTTGGTCTCCCTTGGGTCTGGGGTAACAGCACCTAACACTGCAATATTGGACAGAAGAAGAATGCAAGACCCTCTTCATCTGTTCTTAGTGCAGTTGGATCTGCTTTGGCAATATCCCCTTTTTTGAATTAAGCAAAAAAACAGTGCCATTCCTCCGTGAATTTTCCAAGAGCCTGCTTTTGCCCTCTTTTTTTGTCTGATTCCTTCCAGGTCTTTCCTCCTTCGGCCTGCCTCTCATCCTCAGGGGTGTTTGTAATATTTGCTGACGTCTTTTCCCTAGCACATTAGTGGTCTGGCATCTCTGGGCCTTCCAGATTGCCGTGTGCCTCTCTGGAGATGCCTGATGAATGCACAGAGTCTCTCCGGCAGGATGGGTAGGCGGGGTGTCATGGAGCTGACATCCGGAGCCTACTGCGATGGGAGAGGGATGGCTTTGATCACTGCTCCTCGGAGATGCTGAGCCTCGGGGATGTGGCAGCTGCTGGGGCTGCCTTCCACCCGGGAGGATGGGGAGGAGAAGCCCAAGTGCATCTGCTTTCTTTGGGTTATTGCCTGTCTTCAGAAACCTGATCAAGAGAATTACAAATACTTGAGGGTGGGGGAATGCCATCCTCTGTCTGGTGCACTGCTGGCAGCGGCTTGACCGCTTATTCCTTAGAGGCAGCCCATGTATGTGAGGTGTGGCAGCTGTGCTGGGGATGGTAAGCTGGGGGCCTTAGGAAGGGAGATTCTTGCAAAATCGAGGGAAGCTGCTTTTCACCAACAAGGGAGTCACCTTGTGTCATGTTTAAGCAGATCTTCCTGCAGAAGCAGATTGCAGCCAGAGCCAACCTTGGCTGAACACATGGCTGCTTCCTGTGGTGTGGTGATGATGGGATGAGAGGGCAGCACCTTGTTTTGCCAGGGCTCGGCTGAGCTCTACAAGGGCCATCACTCAGCTCTGATGTATGATGGAGCAGGAGTGGGTGTGATTGGTGCCTGGGTGCCAGCAGGGATTCCTCTCTTAAAATGCTCGTGTACTCCATCACTGACGTGAGGGGTAGAAATATGGGATGGTGGACAGGGGTGTTCAGCTCGCTGTGTCAACTCATCCTGGGCTCTGCGCTCCCAGAGTTCCTCTCTGGTCCTGCTCACCCTTTGCTTGTTCAGACCCCTGTCCACCCTCACTGAGACTCCATGGGTCTCCCACAGCCCCCATCCCTGCTCTGCAGAGGGCTGATGGCAGTGAAGCAGTGAGAGGGATGTCGAAGCTGCCGAGCTGTGTCTGGGCTGCAGCCTCTTCTGGACAGCAAAGGACTTGGTGTGGGCAAGCTGGGCCCAAAGAAGGGCTTCAGAGTGACAGCATCTTTTATTAAGAGGGGGAGAAAATCCCCGTCCTTTGGGACT